CTAAACATTTTGGCTTCATAACTTAAATTTAGACTTAAAAGTTTAATTATGGCTTTGTTGATAATTAATTAAAAGAGTATTACTAAATCCATAATTATATGGTTTGAGTTTAATTAAATTAAAAGTCTAGTTTAATTAATAGATTAAACCACCTAGTATTTTAAAAGTTTAAATACACCCTTATACTATATAAAATCAAAAGTTTAATATATTATATATGTATAAGTAAAAAGTATGTCTTACAGTTAGTAGGCCTCATTCACGAAGCTGGTCTATAAGGGGTGTTTAAGGAAGCGGCCTGTAAAAATGACCGCCATTGGGTATCCATTCTTATCACCGCACCCTTGACCAGTGGATGGTCGTTAGCCGAACGGGTTTGATAGGACACTTAAATCCTCATTAAAAGTATAATGAAATACAAAGTAACTAAACACTTTATAAATTCCCAATCTTAGTTACTTTAGGAAAAATGTGAATTTGATGCTAACCCATGAAATTGCACATTGCACCTTATTAGTCAGTTAGTGGAGCGTGTGTGGTTAACCGACACACTAATGTGGACTAATGAAGGACGACGATGAGTTTCTCGTAAATTATCATTGATCAATCGAACGTGTGTGGTTAACCGGCACATTGATTAGGTGATTAATGACATCGAGAGTACCAAACTAATTTGCATGGTTATTCACACCTTGTTTGTGATCCTCGGTATCCCAGTCACAAACTTGAAGGGCATAATCGAGATTAAACATGTCATTGAAAAGTTCAATGAATCTCAAAAGAATCTAGGAATTTCAATTCATTTCAAACCTAACATTCATTTTGTTTTTCATGGTAGATATTGGTAAATTGTCATTTACCTACCTTCAAATATTTTGCAATTGGATTACGACATCCCTCTTCCGAATTGCAGAATATTGTGTTGGGTCCTAGCCTTAATACTTCATTTTGGGTGTTATATTAATGACTTAAATCAATTAACTTGAATTTCTCTCTTGTAGATGTCTAGTTTTGACAACTATGGTCTTCCCGAATCTTATGGAAAAAGCTTTCCTCATGAAGATGATGTTCCACGAAATCATCGTACATCGTTATTGACGATTTCTAGCTTAATGAAGTGAAAAATGATGATTCGTTGATTAATTTTATTTGATTTACCTGAGAGTGAATTTGTAGGATTCAGGTAATGGTTGTTTTTCGTTGGGATTAACAACTGAGTAGCGACTCCTTCAAATCCGACATCTTCGAGGGCGGTGGCTGCAGCAAGAGCGTCGGAGTAGCGGCAGCCTGACAATGCTGTTGTTGGCCGTCGTTTCACAGAGAGAGAAAGAGAGTTATTTTTTGGTGCAGCCCCAACACGATGACGATCGATTAAGTGCACCTAAATCATTTGCATATTTACCAAGTTACCCTAATATTTAAAAAGAAAAAAAAATCTTAATTTTACCAACGGTAAATAAATTTGTTGACTTCCATCGGTAAACTGTCAGTAATTTGTAACAGATTACCGACGATAATTTATTTTGTTGCTAATCCGTCGCGAAACCGTCTCTAGAATGTCATGCTTAGATTTTTCTAAATCTTTCGAAAATCTGTTGGTATTCCGTCTCTATTACCAACGGATTTTTCCATCGCTAATATTGTGTCGGTAATACCCTGTTTTCTAGTAATGTGCTTAAAAGTTGTGGCCGAACCAACAAAAAAAAATTATTATGACTTTTCCCAACTACACATATAAAACTTGAGTATATCTTTAAATAAACTAACTTTTTATACAATCATCAATACCTTACCGTTACAAATACCTATAATATGATATCAGTTTAGAGTATTTATGTTGCATCATTTAATGAATATTTCGGATATTTATAATTTGACAATCTTTTATTTTTATTTTTATATATTATATATTTATATATCATATGTTTACTATGCTGATATATTAATTAATTAGTGTATATTTTATTTCTTCCAAGTTCTCATGGTGTCTGATGGATTGCACAGAAAGAATCCAATGATGAAGAAGAAAAAGAGTGAACTTGTTGGTGTTCTCAAGTACGAAAATCAAACATGATCTACATATACATTCACACACGCCAGAAGAGAGAGAAAAATATAACAAGCAACTATTGTCGATTGTTTTTATAGATTCTCAAAGTCTTGTCTAGTTACATGCAATTAATGTTTAAAATTCCATTCAATCTGATTGATGAAGCATGTCAATCTTTTATGTGTGTTCTCCTAATCTCCCATAAACTAGTTTTTATGATTATAATGATGTTGTCAATTATAAATTCTCTTTTCTCTTCATTAATTTATATATGAACGTTAAATTATGAAACAAAATGATCCAAATTCCAGAAAACTATACATTCATAGATGAAGACGCAAATAGAACCTTGACACTTTGACAATTTTCATCTAAAGTCAGTTATCAACTTGATATCTTTTTTTTTTTTTTTCTTTTTTTTTTAAATCAAAGGATACAATAAAAAATAATTTGATTTCTAGAGAGCATGATATATTTGACCAAGTGATCGGTGGGGACTTTGGAAAAGACAAAATCGTACGATGAAATGAGAATCGACGAGGGGACGTTTCGTAAATTGGTCGACGGACATGGCCTACTATCGGCATGCGGCTGCCGGATTTTATCTAAAAGGTATCGCCCACATGCATGACATTCTCTTTACTTTCTCCACCATATATTACGATGTCTTGTAGAATCTTCCTTTGATAAAATCCACAAAGAGAAGAACCAGACCTCGTAACTTAATGTGTTAGTGCACTGCGTAAAGATTGAAGATAAAGATTCGATCAGAAATGTTCTAAAATTAATAGTTTTGATTTAAGTCATGAATCAAATGACTATGAGTTTGGTTTGATAGAGTTGACGTGTTAGTTGGCAAAAAGAATTTGTAGCTTCTTCTTTAACTTTTTCTACTTTATTGCCATAGAAATATTTTGCACAAGAAAAATATTAGTAGAAAGTAGTATGTAACTTGTTGGATTGATTAATTTACATAAAATCAATACACTTTGTTTAAAATGGATCCACATACGTACATCATCATCGATCCCTACATATTTAAGTTTAAGCACAAAATTTTCCTTATATATAACAAGTAGGCCAAAATTTTCAAATAGTACTATGTACACCTACTGTGAGTGTGTGAGTGTACCCAACAACTCAATCTTATATTTTCTATATGATTGAATGCAGTTCAAAATTATAATAATTAGCCAAATGTATAATTGATGTTTATGTACAATCTTTTTACATTTTTAATATATCCTAGCTATATATATAATGGATACAACGATTTTAGCACATGTAATTATAAATGAAATGTTTGAGTTCAAATCAAACATCTAACAAAGTAACAATCCCTCTATAACATATATGAATCTTTATTGCACTCAACGAGTGGTTCAACACAATGCCATTGCAAGAAACCTGTATATCTATGACCTGGCGAAAACAAACGTAGTAACAGAATGAACTATGTATGCAACTATATACTTGCTCCTTAAACAGAAAGAATAAAAAAACAGTATCCAATTAATCAGCGTTCATATATAATCCCATTTCTAGGTTAATTAGGTAGTTTTCTATGATCTCTCTAACTGGCTCAACTACTTTAGATTTGTTATATAACTAGCTAACTTTTGATAACAAAAATTGAACTCTATAGATTTCAATGAAGATTATTTGAACATTTATTTAAGAATTAGAAACATTTCTTTTTTCCAATTGAAAAGTTCAACGACCGAACTCCAAGTCCATTAAATGCCCAAGACGATATCTCATAATAATAGAGTTTCATCTATTGAATGACAATTAAACTTGACATTTCTTTCAATTGTAACATTAAGCTCACAATTACAGATGTTGTTACTACTCACATTATAGTTGGAGTGTTGGACTAAACATTTTGTGATATCGTATTAATCAACTTTTCTTTGCTATCTACTAGGGTCATAGTTATCTCACAAGTCTGTTGTTACTACTCACATTATAGTTGGAGTGTTGGACTAAACATTTTGTGATATCGTATTAATCAACTTTTCTTTGCTATCTACTAGGGTCATAGTTATCTCACAAGTCACAAGGGGGCAGCTAATTAAGGATCACTACAAGAAACTGCCTTCAATAATGACATGTTGGATGGATTTGGTGTGTTGGATAGATATTGAAATAGATGCTCTTGATAGTACTTATCTATGATACAAATGTATGCATCTAATGATAATATGTTATGGATACAAGACCTTAATGACTAAGCTCATGTATGCATAACACCTTGTTTTTTAGCTAGTTAATTTGGGTTCAAGACTCCATCTTATATGCATCTTATATCATTTACCTATAAGCTATATCTTTGTCTATTTTATAACTTCTCTAACAATTTGCTTGTACGGGAAGTGCAATATATATCTGCTTGCTTCTATAGCGTGAGTTAAAAGCGGTCTGGTCTTTTTGAGTATTCATAGGCCTATACTTTAAAGATGCATGTTGGGGATACCCTACTAGTTATTCCTTGCGGTGTGATGTTGGGGATACTATAAGGAGAAGTCTTGAAGATATATATATATATATATATATATATATATAAAAAGAGAGAGAGAGAGAGAGAGAGAGAGAACAAAACTAGTACTAGTATTAGTTAAAGATTAATTATTGGATATCTTCTTCGTCATCGGGACTTCAAACATTAATAAGCTAGATAGCTAAGTTGAACACAAGGACGTAAGAGATTATGAAGAAAAAGAGAGAGAAGAAATGGATTAATGATAACACAATGTTAATTATTCGTCAATGATACAGTTCAGCCCTAGAATTCATTCGTTAATTATTGTAAACAAGAATCAAAACTAGGACCTATAAACATTAGATTCAGAGAACTTCAAAGAGAGCACTGCCCATGGTCTAATATTATTATGATACAGTTGGCACCATGAGTGAGAAGATCAAATCAATAAGAACAAGTAGCACTGACCTAAGTGCTGTTGCCTTCCCATGATTTACCAATTGCTTGAAAGTCATTAGAATGATGCTGCAAAACCAATTATATGCATGGATGTTCTTTGATTAGTTTATATCAGGTATCAATCGAGGGAGTATATATATATATATATATATATATATATATATATATATATATATATATATATATATACTACTGGTCATTGAACATGTGGCATTTCCAGTCACCTATTAATGGAGTATATTTGTTAACTGAAAAAAAGTATTACCTCATGTGCTAGACCGGCAATATTATGCTGATAATTGAGCATGTAGGACGGGCTCCAATTGCCTGTCATCATCAGTGAAGAATTATCACCAACAAATCCTTGCTTAAACTGGAAGTGAGAGCTCATTTGATCGGGTTGACCAGTGCTTTGACATTGGTTTTCTTCGAAGATGCTCCAAGAACCTAATTGGTTTACATCTTGGTCCATTGCCTGATCTAAACATGGTCTACATTTTGAATCTTGAGCAACACCGATCTTATTAATACTTCTCTTTTCGATTGTCCTCTCCCTTGCCCTTACTCTTGCCCTTTCCCTTGTTGCTTTAGCAAGAGGGTGATGAAGACCTGCACTTCTTCTAACTCCTCTAGTAATCTTTTCCTTCTGTTTTTTGCTGCTGCTTCCAGAAGTAGACTTTTCCTTATTATTTGTAGTAGGTGCTTGATCATCTCCAGTCTTTAGCATAGACTGATCAGCTGCTGTTCCAGATAGAACCTCACATTCTGAAGTAGAAGATGCACTGTAATTAGATACACCCATAAAGCTGCAGCTCCGGTCAGGAAGGAGTTCTAGAATGGCAGTTCTTGATTTTGTGAGCAACCAATCGACTGTCTTGCTGGCCTTATCAAATCCAAGCAAGTCTTGCAAACCAAACAACTTTTTAGCAACATCAAGGGACAATCTCATCCTTCGATCTCTGGGGCCTCGAGCGGTGTCAATCTTGCTATGCCGATCTCCTTTAGAATGTCTCTTCCTTGGACTGCTACTTTCAGGCTCAGCGTGAGTACTAAAGTCGTAGGGTTCATCATCTCCGTCATTCCTAGCAACCTGTCCATTGTTACTACCACACTCTCCCATGATAGATTCAACATTAGTAGTCATCTCATGAGCTAGAGTACTGATTGTATCGTGGTGGTTATGATCGTTGGAGAAATATTGTTGTTGTTGGAAGGACTCGCAGAAGCCTGCTTCATCTTCTAAAGGAATGTAATTAGGGGATGGAAGGAGGAAAGATGGAAAAGAAGATGGAGCATAATAATATTCTTGAGGGGTTTTTGAATAGTTGGTATCATTGTAGTAATTACCAAAAAAACAAGTCTTTGGTGGTTTACACCCATTGTTGTTGGAAGAGGGATGCATCTCTTATCTTTAGCCTCCAGAAACCTACGTATAGTTGTGTGAATGTAGACCGCCGAATAGTAGATCTAAAGGGGAGCTTGATAATAAAAGAGCTTGCTCTTTACAAGAAGCAATATTGTTAGAAATTAAGACAGCTCAACATAACTGTAACTTTGAGGAGTACAAAATTAAGCATAAGAAAGCATGAAGAAGAAGGTACAGAGAGAGAGAGAGAGAGAGGAGAGAGAGAGAGAGAGAGAGACTGGCAAGCATGCTATAATAGTCATCATAGAGCTGTAGACATATATACTGATGGTGAGAGAAAGGGAGCTAGGCCCATTTTACCTATAATGTCTTAGTTATCTCATTGGTCAAGAAAGCTCAAGAGGCCATTTATTAATAATGGAGACAAGGAGCTATCTTCGTCTTTCTCTCTCTACTTTTGGGGTAAAGGTGAGCAATATTTGGTGAAGATGAAGAGAAGAGAAAAGAGTTAGTAGTTTCTTGTTAAGCTAGTGGATAGGAACCACTTCTTGTTGTGCCACTTCACGTGGTTGATAGCAGCAGGTGCCTATTGCTCTGTGTGAGAGAGAGAGAGAGTAATCCAAAAGACCTTTTACTCGGAAAGCAACCCTAGGTGCCTTGACCATTAAAACTTGCATGCTTTCCAGGCCAGTCTTCTTTCACCATGAGTATTGTTTGTAAGGAAGGGGAAGGGGGGGTCCGGACGAAGCGAGATAGACTGCAGGGCTGGTGGTGGTCCGGTGGTTAGGGGGTGGTGAGATGGAAGGAAGCTTAGGGAGTTAGGGTTGCTTTTCTTAGTCAATCTCAGCTGTTTTGTGGAAACTAGCTGAGTGCGTGACACGAAGAAGACAAAAGAAAATTACTATTCCAAAAAACTTAAACTTTATGAAAAATTAACTACTTACATACATTTTTTGAGATATGTGTTTCTTACCATAATTTCGTTAGCATATATATATATATATATATAGATATATATATATATATATTAATAATATATATATATATATATAATATATATATATATAGAGAGAGAGAGAGAGAGAGAGAGAGATGTTTGCATCATTATAAATGTAGATGTAATTGTTTTTGTGTTTTTTATTATTCCAAATGACGAGTTAGAAATATAAGCTATAATTTTCCAACTAAAATTTGATTTTGTGTGTTTGATAAGCAGAGGATATTAAGTTTGGTTATCACGACTGTTTATTATTTGAATTTAAAAAAGTATATAGCAAAACTTTTACCATTGGTGTATGAATTTCCATTATTCTTGAAAAAAGGTAAAATTCTAGTTAGAGGCCATGTTCTATTCATCTGTAGCTCTCCTATGCAAGAAAACTCTTCTTTTGACTTGTCTGCCCTCATGTCACTTTCACCAAAAAGATCCAGTATCAATCTCTCTCCCCCACAGGACACACAAAGACCTATATACACTACAGGGAAGTTATTTGGTCACTGTAACCATCACATGATTAAGCATCATCAGTTTAAATTCTTAATGCATCCTAAAGTTGATGTATTTTCAAGTTGAGCTCGTGCTTTTGATTTCTGCAGGGAAATGATGAATTGAGCATTTACGTTAAGCTTTTTCTTGTCTACATCATGGTTGCATAGCTAATTTCATCCTCGGAACCATCTAGTCCTTCCTTACCAAAAACATGGTATGGTTCAATCAATGAATCTTAAAAGATCTAGGAATTTCATAGTAATTTTAAATTGGAAAAGTGCACTGTCTATCTAAAATAATTTCGCAATTTGATTACAACACCGTCAAAAGAAAGGCTTACTAGTCCAAACTATATGAACTAGATGCGCAATTTGAAGATGACATTTCGCTATGAGAATAAAGAGTATGTTCTCGATAGCCATGTTCCCGAAATTGACACTACGACTGATACTCCTGACGAAATTGTTGAATGAAAACAACATGTTAATGATTGCAACCATGGCACCTGATCTGCAAAAGTCATATGAGAACTATTGGCCCAATGAAATGAACTTGGCTCTTGTTCAAATGTTCCACAAGACAGCAAGGCAAGGGTGTTATGAAGTCGTTAAGGTCCTAATGGCATGCAAGCTTAAAGAAGAGGAATTTGTGTATGCTAATGTGCAAAAGATGAAGAGCCACGTGGAAAGAATGGAAAAGCTCAATGTGAATTTCGACAAAGAGTTTACCATTGATACGGTTCTCAACTCCTTTCCAAATAGTTATGATGAGTTTATCCTAACTTTATCATTTTACCAACTCGGAAACGACATTGATTGAGCTACATAGTCTGTTACTAACTGCTAAAGTTGGAATGAAGAAGTCTCATCCCAACAATACTGCAACTGTCCTTATCCTGGCCATTCATTAAGGAAAAGGAAAGAAACAGAAGGTTGTTTCCCAACCCAAATGGAAAGGGAAAGCTCACAATGGAGAGTCTAGTGGTGGGTCAAAGGGAAAAGTCAACTTTGATGCTCCTCCCTTTCGGTGATCCGAAAGAGGCAGTATGCTTTCACTTTGGCCATAAGGGACATTGGAAGAGAAGCTACCCTAAGTACTTACAAGAAGTGAGAGACGCAAAGGGCAAGGTATCTGGCTCTACATCTGGTATTTACTCTATAGAAATAAATAACACTCAAATTTCAAATTCTTGGATCCATGATACACGATGTGGTTTCCATATTTGTTTTGATATGCATGGACTAAGGGAAAATGAAAGGCTTGAGCATGGAAAGTTGAACCTGGTCATGGGGAATAAACGTATTTCGACTGTTACCAGGATTGGGACTTATAAGTTTATGTTTGATAGTAGTGTTAGGTTGATTTACATAATTGTGGTTATTCATAAGAAATACAAGAAACATAAATTATTTTCACACTTTATTTAGACAAGGTTGTCATTATGTGTTTGACAATAATGATGGTGATATTTTGGTTTATAAAAAGTATTTTTTGTTTTATTTTCAAAGTTTATCCTTGTAATTGCATGTATGAAACTGTTGTGTATGTGAATGGTCTCTACAATAGTGTATTTAGTATTGATTCTTCTAGTGGTTTAGACAAGACAGGCTTATCGCATTGTCGTCTTGGCATATAAACAAGAAACGCATCACCCAACTCCAAAAGGATGGAGTTTTAGAATCATTTGAATAAAAGTCAGATGATGAATGCAAGTATTGTCTATTAAGCAAGATGACTAAGTCACTTTTCACATGAACTTGTGAAAGAGGTAAAGGACTATTAGACCTCATTCATACTGATGTATGTAGTCCTTTTCAAGTCCGCAACAAGGGATGATAATCACGACTACGTAACATTTACTAATGATTATAGTAGATATGGTTATATCTATTTAATCAAGCATAAATTGGAAGCTTTGAAAAGTTCAAAGAGTTAAAGCATGAAGTAGAGAATCAACTGGGTTAGAAGATAAATATGCTCCGATCTGATAGAGGTGGAAAATATCATAGTATCGAGTTTAACGACTATCTTATGGAATATGTGGAATAGTTTCACAATTAATCCCTCCTAGGACACCACAACTTAATGGTGTAGCCGAGAGGCGAAATCGAACATTGTTTGACATGGTTCGTTCCATGATGAGTTGAGTTTCGCTCCATATTTCTATATGGGGGCATGGTTTAGAGACTGTCACCCACGTCCTTAATCTTGTTCCTACCAAGAAGGTTGTCAAAACACCTCATGAAATGTGGAGTGGGAAACCTCCCTCACTCGCACATATCAGTATTTGGGGTTGTGAGCCTCTCGTTAGACGCGATACCCACGACAAATTGGAACCCAGAGTCGAGAGGTGTATTTTCATTAGCTACCTACAAAAGTCGTTTGGATACTTGTTATACAAACCTGTTGATAACGTGGTCTTTGTAGCTTAAAGAGGAGTCTTTCGTGAGAAGGAGCTCATATCCAAAGAGGACAGTGGGAGTACGATTGATCTTGAAGAAATTCAAGAATCATCCAATAAAGAAACCTTAGTAAAAACTATCACTCAAACTGTGGATGAAATCCAGATTGACCTATTGAAAATTTGTTTCCTCTTCATCGATGCGGTAGAGTTAGTATGCCACCCACATTTTATGGTTTCCATATAGCTGCAGATGGGGACACGTTTATTAGTGATAATAGACTGGTAAATCTGGAAGAGCCAGCTAACTACAAGGAAACGATGGTAGTCCCTAAGGTTGCTAAGTGGAAAAATGCAATGGATAGCGAGATCTAATCTAAGTATGATAACCAAGTGTGGACTTTGGTTGATCATACACCCGGTCGAAAGATAGTGGGTTGTAAATGGATCTTTAAGAAGAAGAACAACATGGATGGAAATGTACATAAGTTCAAGGCCAGACTTGTTGTGAAGGGATTTACTCAAACCCAAGGGGTTGACTATGATGAGACCTTTTCACCAGTTGTCAAGATCAATTCGATTCGGGTAGTGCTTTCCATAGCTGCCTTTCATGATTATGAAGTATGGAAAATGGATATTAAAATCTCCTTCCTTAGCGGGAGGCTGACTGAGGATGTTTACATGGCTCATCCAGAAGGTTTTGAACGTGCCAAATACCCTAATAACGTGGGAAAGCTTAAGAAGTCTATCTATGGACTTAAACAAGAATCTCGTAGCTAGAATATTTGCTTTCATGAAAAGTTCAAGGAGTTTGGATTTTCTAGAAGTGAGGATGAGTCTTGTGTGTATGTCAAAGCTAGTGCGAGAGTAGTATCCTTTCTAGTTTTGTATGTTGATGATATACTACTTATAGTAAACAATGTTCCAACTTTTCAAGAAGTGAAATTGTAACACCCTGTTTCAGATCGTTTCCATTTCGGGGTGGTAATCAAGGATTAGGTATTAGCAGGCTTAGGATCCGTGAAGAAGTTAGTTTTGGGCTTATTTGGAGGTGGGTGATGTAAATTGGATGATCCGGGTATTCGGTTTACGTTTTGGAGTTAAAGGGCATTTTGGAAATTTTTCAGATCGATCTTCTATGGAAAA